CATTATATAGAACACAAAATGCCAAAGGCTGGCTTAACTCCACATGTTTCAGTGAGGTTTCTATTAGTTGCAGCAGGCCACTGAAAACCCCTGCCTAAATTATTATCCATTGACAACATCTTCTAAAAAAAAACATGCAATTCTTTTAACCCTCCCTCTACCTCCTATAAAGCTACAGAAAAAAAGCACTGGGTAAGAAGGCTGCAGCATAATGCTACACCAAGCTCTGTTAATGCAGAGAGGGATTTACTCCAAACCTTTTTCTCACTTAAGCTGTTCCTCCAGCAGAGAGGCAGAGAAGGCTGGCAAGACCTAGGAAGAGGAACTGGAAATTCTTTCCTCTACTTGTAGCAGAGATATAGCAAGCACATGACTCAAAGATGAATTAAGCATCAATGTGCCACAAAAATACTTCAGTGAGCTGGTCTGTGACTCCTATACAGTAAGCTCTCTATATACAGTTTACATTATGATTTTTTTTTTTCAGTTAATTGATGTGAATCAGACTATTAAAAAATTAAGACTGTTAACTCTTAAGAACTGCTGTGAAGTAGATGGTTTTTACAACTGCTTCACAAATACAAATAAAAGCCTACAATGCTAATTTTATTTTACTAGCTCCTGTGGAATCCAAGAGAATCAGGCTGAAGAATTCCTAGGCAAGAAGATCCCAACAGTTTTCAAAGAGATTTATTATGAGAGGTTTAAAAGTGGCCTGAAAAGGCTTAATACTCAATCTGACACAAAGAAACTCATTTCTCTTCTTCCAGACATTTGAGCACACCTGTCAACTCCAGTACCCACAAGATGAACAGAACTCAAAATCATTACCTAGCTGTTGATACCAACAGCTTTTGGCTTCTGATTTAAGACAACAGAAAAAGAAGGCAGGCAAATTAAAATTCTACTCTAAAAACCATAACAAATCCCATTCATTATTAGGGAAGCAGTGACACTGTGCACTGCAGTTAGAGAATGTGAAGCACAAGAGATATACCTCTGTGCAAGTAGTTTGCAGAAAGTATTACTTGAACTATTAAGAGGAACACAGATTGTGTTCAGTATTCATAGTAGTAAGTTTCAATAGTAATATCCAAATGCACAGCTAAATAAAATGATCACCTGGCAAGTAGCATATATGGCAAGTACAAATCTGAAGTACCACTTCATTACAAAACACATTAGTAAACCCCTTTCCATTATGTACTATTTTGGAGCATTCACAAACCCAAAATCCAAAGGAAAAATGTTCATTTTCAGTCTTGACAAGCTTCCCCTTACACGTTTACTACAGACAGATGCTTGTTTCCCCACATAAATACAGCAATTAAAAACTGATTATGAATTAAGGAAAAAGTTCAACTGTTTTTTTCATTCTGTGCTTAAAAATATACTCAGGAGCACTGAGAGAAGTGTCTGGCAGAGCTTGCTGTGGAGCCAGCAGTGAGCCCTAGCACAAATGTTCCTTTAACATTCCCCGAGATTCTGCCAGTGCCTGCAGAACTCCTGTTGATGTACAGTTAAACAAAATATGAGCACTTCCTTAAGAGTCACTGGATTTTCCCTGTTCTCCAGGAGAGATAAGGACATTATAAGCACAAAAACTCCCTATCGTTAAATCAGGTAGATCCAGCATCAAAATTTCAAATCCAAATTTGCAGTCCGCTTCACAGATTTGGCATTTTTGTTTAATGTATTTCTTTTTACCTAAGAACAGTCATCTTGAAATATTAAAAAAAGCAGAATTGATTAGTTTAGCCATCAAGTGCAGGTTCTACATACTGTTCACTGAAGAAATGCACTGCAAAGGAGCGATTAAAATGTTAAGTTACCATGGCTACCTTTATATCATAAGTAAGGAAAACTTGCACTCAAGATAAAGAAAGAAACAAGCCACTATTAATTTTTTTTTTTTTTAATTATTTTCAGAAGGAACATCTGCTTAAAAGAAGCAATCATGTGCTGGTCCAAGTATTTTTTCCCTGTGTGTTATGCAATTTGCCTTTTTTGTTTGCAGGCAAAGCAAACGTATCTGCTACTTGCATTAGTAGTTTATGAATTTTCCCAAAGCACTTAATACTTCAAGTTTGCTCAGATATTTAAGACAAACATGACAGAAGGAGCAACTTTAACACTGCTGTAATTGCAGCTCTGCAGTGGTAGACCAAGGTTTTTTCAAAACACAATATCATGCAAATTTTCCTAAACATGAAACAAATGTAAAATTGTAGAGACACTTTACAATGAAGATGAACTAAATTTCTTAGAACAAAATAGTTATTTGTTGATTGTGTTGTAAGAAACAGCTATTGTCAAACACCATATCATAATTCTCCATAAAGATTCTTAGAAACACAGAATAGTTAGGGTAAAAAAGGACCTAAAGATCATCTGGTTCCAGCCTCCCTGCCATAGGCAGGGACACCTCAGACTAAACCATGTCACCCAAGGCTCTGGCCAACCTGGCCTTGAACACTGCCAGGGATGGAGCATCCACAATCTCCCTGGGCAACCCATTCCAGTGCCTCACCACCCTTACAGTAAAAAACTTCCTCCTTATAAGTCTAAGGAAAGTCTAAACTTTCCCTCCTTATAAGTCTAAGGAAAGTCTAAACTTTCCCTGTTCAAGTTTTAACCCGTTACCCTTTGTCCTTTCACTACAATCCCTAATGAATAGTCCATCCCCAGCATCCTTATAAGCCCCCTTCAGATACTTGAAGGCTGCTATGAGGTCTCCAGGCAGCCTTCTCTTCTCCAGGCTGAACAGCCCCAACTGTCTCAGCCTGTCTTCATACGGGAGGTGCTCCAGTCCCCTGATCATCCTCGTGGCCCTCCTCTGGACTTGTTCCAACAGTTCCATGTCCTTTTTACGTTGAGGACACCAGAACTGCACACAATACTCCCAAGTGAGGTCTCATGAGAGCAGAGTAAAGGGGCAGGATCACCTCCTTCGACCTGCTGGTCACGCTCCTTTTGATGCAGCCCAGGACACGGTTGGCTTTCTGGGCTGCAAGCGCACACTGAAATCAGCTCATGTTCAGTTTCTCATTGACCAACACTCCCACGTCCTCCTCCTCAGGGCTGCTCTCAATCTCTTCTCTGCCCAACCTGCAGCTGTGCCTGGGATTGCTCTGACCCAGCTGTAGGACCTTGCATTTGGCATGGTTAAACTTCATAAGGTTGGCATCAGCCCACCTCACAAGCGTGTCAAGGTCCCTCTGGGTGGCATTCCTTCCCTCCAGCGTATCAACCGAATCACGCAGATGGTGTCATTGGCAGACTTGCTGAGGGCGCACTCAATCCCACTGTCCACGTCAGAGACAAAGATGTTGGACAAGACCGGTCCCAACACCGATCCCTGATGGACGCCACTCATTACTGGTCTCCAGCTGTCCATTGAGCCACTGACCACAACTCTTTGTGTGTGGCCATCCAGCCAGTTCTTTATCCACTGAGTGGTCCATCCATCAAATTGATGTCTCTCCAATTTAGAGACAAGGATGTTGTGTGGGACAGTGTCGAACGCTTTGCACAAGTCCAGGTAGATGACATCAACTGCTCTGCTGCTGTCCATCAGTTCTGTAGCCCCATCATAGAAGGCCACCAAATTGGTCAGGCAGGATTTCCTCTTAGTAAAGCCATGCTGGTTGTCACCAAGCACGTTGTTGTTTTTCATGTGCCTTAGCATGCCTTCCAGGAGAATCTGCTCCAAGATTTTGCCAGACACAGAGGTGAGACTGACTGGCCTGTAATTCCCTGGGTCATCCATTTTCCCCTTCTTGAAAACGGGGGTTACATTTCCCTTTTTCCAGTCATCAGGAACGTCACCTGACTGCCACAATTTCTCAAATATGATGGACAGGGGCTTAGCAACTTTATTCAACAACTAATGCTATGAACTTCTTGAACTTGAATACTATCAACTTCTACCAATACAAGAGACCTGATTCAAGAAGTGAAAACTGTGGAAACATTATCAGATGCTAACATTTAAAGTCATGAAAGCCACACACTTGACAGGAATGTGGTCATATTTACGAAGGTTCTTTTTTTAACGTCTCAAATTTTCATGCCAAGTATAAATCTGAGAACAGACTAAAATAACCAGAAGACTCTTAAAGACTGAGTTATCTCACAGAATGCCAGCTTGATTCCTTTATCAGAATACTAGCTACCTCAATTCACTAAAATAATCTAAATAAAAGTTGTTTTTTTTTTAATAATTTTGAACTGTTACACCGCAATCCCACATAACCCTGAAGACTTGCACATGCATCATTAAAAGGGAGAAAAAGACATGTCAAAGGCAAAAAACAACTCTTCTGCTCTGCAACAAGGCTTGTGCCCAGGTCCTACTGTGCTTTGTGGCAGAACAAAACCCTAGACTGGTGAGTTAAGCATCAGTAAAGAAGATAAAGCAATATAGTAAGAGCTAGAGAGAAGCAGGAAGCAAGGCTTTGTGATGATGGTTAGAGAATCTCTTACTCATCAAAAAGCAAGCTTTGAAATCTCTGTGATCTGTGAAACACAGCATGTGAACCATCACTGATGAGATCTGCAAGGGCAATTACATGAGGAAGAAAGTTTTGACTTTTCAAAGTATAAAACAGGGAAAGTACATATGTTTGCTCTTTCTGTTGTTTGAAAACTGGGATCAGAGCAGATGCTCATATTCCAGTTGTACTGCTTTTATGAACCAACTAAAAACCTATTTGCTAAGGAACTATATGCTTTAACATGGATGTATCCATTGTTATTAAAAAAGAGTGCACAAAGTCTCATTAAAAGAACTTTTTCCCCTTTTTTAAATGACAGCATAATAGCTTCTAAATAAATGAAGAAAACACATTTATTTGGAGCTACAATTAAAAAGACTATACACTGTGATTGACAGCAAATTCTTTCCAAAGCTTCAGTGGAGGGTTATGACATCCATTATTGCAAATCCCACACACCACCAATGCAGAAACAAAAAAACACTGGATGCCGTACAAGAACAGTCCAGCCAACAGGACTTTAATCATAATAAAGTATGGAAACATATTGTCATTTTAATAAATACATTAAAGAACTTGTTTTTCAAACAAATACCATAGGAGTTTTAGCGGTAATAAAAGATCAGAGGCAAGGTAAAAATCACATAGAGACTCCATTTCTTTTTCTGACGTATTAAACCCACATTACTAGAACTGAAAGGATTTGAGAAAACAACTGATCTTCCACCTTTGTATTTTTAATTTACTTCACGTTACATTTATTTTATGCATGCAACCTGCTTTCCTCTTATCTGTTTCTCTGAGAAACAGTTCAGTTGAGACTGCAAGCCAAATGTTGTTAGGTGATTAACATATTTAATAAAAATTTCCTCTCTCTAAACTGCCCCCAGTTACATATGCAGAGTGCCTAAAATGTAATGAAGCACACTAAAGTACACAGAAATTAAGGCAATGGTCAAAGCTGTGCAGTATTGGAAAAGCAGACTCCACAGTTCAAGGTCTCTCTGGTGCCTCACAAAAGGAATCATCTCCTCCACCTTCTGAAGAACTCCTCTACAGATGTTTAAAGTACAGTAACTGTTTTATAAAGCAATCCCTATTGGTCTTTATACTGTCCATTGTACCTAATATTGAAAAGACAGGATGGGTAATTGGGATATTAAAAAAAAAGTAGTCTGCCTTCAATAGAATTTGGAAAACTTTCAGGCCTCTCAAAATGGCAGTTTTCCAGGCTGGTTGTTTTGTTGTTTATGCTGTTGTAAAAATTTTACTTCTCCATTTTCTGTAAAAATTAAAAAGGCATAACTCTGCATTTGCACACTTTACAGGTTTTAATTTCCACAGGAAAATTAACAGGTGAGTTAAGTTACTATATATGCAAAATGTCAGATAAAAAGTTGGTCATCTAGGATAGCTATTCCAGCTCCTGGAATTTAACACTGAAGCAATCACCCATAACTGAAAGAATTCTCCAAAGACCTAGATTCAAGCTTCTGAAATGAAACAAAACCACATTAAAAACTTCTATGTATATATTTTACATATATATAGACACACACATAAACTTCATGTACATACACTTTATACTTACATGCGTGTGTCTATATATATATATAAAAGTATAAAAAAATGATCGCATAAATATAATGGAACTTTTGTGGAAAACGGCTTTCCAGGACAATGAGAAACCCAAAATGGAAAGCTCAATGCAGGGAAAAGTAAGAATATTTGTACACTTGCACTTGACTTCAGCAAAAGGTATACAGTACTTCAGAAAGTTTGGGTCATCTCATTGTGAAATGACAGCACCTCTGTTCAGATTTGCAAGCCCTGGACAGGAGTCCTAAAAACTCTTGCCTGTTCCATTTAAGTGCTACTTATGGGGAAGCAAGACCTCCTGTACATTTGTTTGAAGTAGAAATGATAAGTGATAGAAGTTCCATTCCCTGAAAAATTCAGTAACAAAGAATTCTGAAAAGCTCTTCTGAATTTCAGTTCATTTGAATACTTCATGCTTACACAAATCCCCCTGAAGATTAAGATAATCATATTAAAGACTCTATGAATATAGCCAGTAGGAATCACAGCAAGTCTGAGTTACTATCAGATAATTTTTTCATCATGAGATATATAAAAATAAAAACTGCTTAAGTTTTCAGCTGAGATGCTTTTAAGAAATTAAGATGCCATTAGAGATGAACAAATGAATAACCTTAGTAACATCTGACACACTGTGTAAAAACCCCTGTACTGAACAACACTGTCAAACAACTGGGGAGGTATGTTTGTGCTTTTTCTGGGGATGGTGAGTCAAATGGAAGAGAGTGGAAATGCAGTGCTGATAACTTTCCAAACGATGTGAAAACTGCCTTGTGAAAAATTAAGCTTACCTTTGGAGACTGTTTGAAATATTTTTCCAGCACCAAACTGAGATTTCTGGCCACAAAACAGATACATCCAGAACAACGCTCTCCTCATCTTCTTTTCCAAATCACAGAAGTAAAACATCAGGATAAAAATCCAGCACTTTCATTGAAAAATACACTGCAGAGATAAATCTTTGTCTGTCAGACAAATTTATGAACTGCTTATCCAACCTTTTCATAAAAAACACAAACTCTCCTATGCCCCTGCATTTCCCAGGCTAAAGCACAATTCCATAGATTCTCCACTGACTACTACAATTTTTGTAAATAGGAACACACATCACTGTTCCTGATAACTGGAAAAAAAGTAGGTGTCTCTATTAAGTTTCTAACATCTCAGATTTACTGTTTTCAAAAGAGGGAAAACCTCCTAAGCCTGGTGGTCATTTCTGTTTGTGACTTTAGTAAGATAACTTTGCAAGATAGCTTAATACTTGCACTGAAGATACTCAGTTCATATTAAACGTTGCTGATCAATGAAATCAATATATCACTGTGAAATGAACACGGAATGATAATGCTAAAACAAAAACCTCTTGCTTAGAAGTATCTTGTTTCAATGTTATCAAAATGAGACTGATTCAAAATTGGCAAAACCTAACATGTTTTAATAACATGTGGACAATGTTGAAATGTTTAGGAAGACAAACACCCTGTAAATACTTATTTTAATTTGCTCTAAGAGCAACAACACGAAAGACTCCAGACCGGGTTCTGATGTTGGTTATGTGACATGTACCGGTTGTTCAAACATGAGCTTTAAGCCTGGCCTCGGTCATCTTTAGGTGCCTGATGGCCTCAGTTGGCAGCTGAGGGGCAGGGGGATGGGCCTGCCCCACTCACCCTAGGGGGTTCCCAGAGGGAAACCCCATGGCTGCAGCTTCCCAGGGAGCTACTGGCCCTCACTCTAACTCCCCTAAAGGGAACCATTTGCAAGGTGTGCTTATAACATTAACTACCATCTCACGTGCAGCATAAAAAAAGATAGACAAAAGCCACAAGTGTCAGACGAGAACAGTGACCCCAGAAGAAAAGCATGCAGATGTCATAAGCTTAAATTCATTTGAACTGACATTTCTTAAAGTCCTAAAAAGGCTCTCATCCTAAGCTTCGTTTCTAGAAAATTTTCTCTCTGGGTGTATTGAGAAGGTGAAGGGGAAAGATGGATGTAACTTCTCAAAATGCTCCTCTTGGAAATTAAGAAAAAGAAAAAAAATCACCCCCACCTCCAAATCCTCCCACCAGAACCTAAGAACATCTATGTTTATCTTCACCCTGAGAATCTGTGTTCACTCCAGCATATGGTACTGCCTCAGTTTGGTTTCACTGGTAGAAAAGGCTAACCTCAAATCTTATGGCAACCAGCACAAAATTAGATCTTCGCCCTCTCCTTCCCCCCCCCCCCCCCCCCCCGTTAGTGTCTGTCGCTTCAGTGACTTGCTGATTTGTTGCAGAAAAGCATTATTTTCAACCATAGACTGGTACAAACTCCTTTCACAGAAGGAATGGCACAAAACAGACTCCATCAGCCATGAAGTTTTCCCTCGTCTTCCAAAAGAAATTGCCTCTGGGGATAGTCTCTCATTTTCATTTTCTTTTTTTCTTTCTCACTCAGTTTGTTGGATGCTGGACAGCTGTGGCTTTGCAGAGTTTTAGTGGATTGCTCATCTAACTCACCCCATTCAGAAATATTTCTAATTAGTCCCAGCAGAGGTTTCTCATCCAATTCTCCCCTCTTTTAATTCGATTTTATTGCTGGAATACAGGACTACAGGACTCGAAGTTACTGTAACATGGTATTTCCTGCAATGTTCCTGGAATTGGTACTCCAAGAACTAGGATGTTTACAGGATTTACGACTTACAAAGTTTGGACTTTTGAACTGTTTTTTGATTTTGAGTATATCAAGAAAACTGCAGCAGCCATCAGTCAGATAATGGGTATAAATCTTTTAACCTTAACATGGAGCCTTGGATATAAGAGACTCCAGGGCCTTAGTAGCAACTCTAACTCCACTCTTCTCTGGTATGGTCATGATCTCCAAACAGAGTACGATAAACACCTGCAGCTAAGTGACATGGAACCATCTCTTCCACACAGGGCTGTCTTTACCACTTACCTGCTCCAACAGTCAGCAGGAAGACTGCCCAAGTCAACAAGAACAGGCCCCACCACTTTGTTTCAAGTTGTCTCTCCTCGCACCTGCGGCAAGTCCTGTGTGTCCCTATGCTAGATGGCAAAATAAATTAAAACGTCTCCTCCCACCCAGTTTCTTCATTCCTTTTGATGTCATTAAAGCCAAACATTCAATAATAAAGACCTCTATTCCCTTTACCATTATAATCTTCCTGAAGTGATTACCCTCTTCAGATCTTGATTCCCTCTTTCAAGCCAACTGCTCTTTTATTGGTTTTGATATGCTTCCTTCCTGCAACCCAGACTAACTGTAGATCACTCCAGAAGAAAATGGCACACAGGAAATTAAAAAACTGAGGGATATGATATTATTCATAATGACATTACAGAGCTTCTCATATTCTCCACATGGAAAATAGGCTTTTGTGCATTTCCCACAAAAAGCAGGAAAAACAAAATCCTCTTTGAAAGAAATCAAAATCTCATTTCCCACCATCTAATCAGATGATTACCTGTCAGTTCAGGAGCTTGGCTAGAATCTTATGTGTTTGCTATTCCTACAGCTCACAGGCTCAATGTCCAGAAAGTCCATTAATTAGTCCATTCTAATGATTGAAAGTAGCACAATCAGCTTCAGGGAGTGCCAACAAAATCATTTTGAAAAAGAAGAAAATATTTGGTTTTGCCTTTGAGAAAAATTCAACAAAGACAATGAGCTTAGGCAACACTCTGACCATCGGGATAAATCAGTTTTCAGCTGCCATGGACAGGTAATGAGGACTTGCTGTTGACACTGTTGCGGAGGGAAGATTCACTAGCAGATTTTTTATTCCTACTGCAAAGCAGAAACTGGGTGCTGTTTATTATTATTTGTGACAGTGTTTCATGCAGAACAGCAGGTCCTCATTAAGGAAGCCACATTTACCACAAACATTCACCTCTCATGCAGAGATCAAGTTAGAATTTGAGCTCAAAGCACATAAAAAAAAATCTACTTTCTCTTTTTCAGGAGGCAAAAGAAAATCAGAAGGAATTAACATACACATGCTACCACAGGCAAATTTTCTTCTTTCAAAGTGACATCTTTTAAATTTCAGTACCACAGAATATCACCATACAATTAGGAAAGTTTGCCTACTTAGTTTTCATTCAGGCCTTAAACGGAGTAGGAGGGGCCTCAGTAAAAATGTATAAGTCTTCGAAACTAGTGTTCCTTCAGAATCACAAGTGTATGAGCACCTCTTCATACAAAGATTCAAAATGACATAATAAAGTTAATTCTGTAATGAAATACACACTACAAGTCTGGGCTGCATATAAATTACAGATGTCGGACACTAAATGAGACCTTATGGGGTAACCCCTTTGTGATAAAAGCAAAACTGATACATCTAATAACTTTTAAACTTTTTTAACTTTTTAAAACTATTTAATGGTTAAAAATCTCATACAACAGCAGGCAGGATGCAATGGAGGAGATGACGCAAGGGACTTGAATTTCTCTTTCCAGTAACGAATGTAGAGGTTTGTGGGAGAAAAGTAGTCAATTGAAAATCCTTGCATTTCCTTAGTCATTAACCTATTTCTCTAACAAAATCACTGCAACTCCACCAAATTGTAGTTGAACAGTTAACACCACCACGCTTAACCACATTAAATGAAAACCAGAAAGTAGACCAGGTTAATGGGCATGTTTTGATTCTAGAAAAAAAAAGAAAATTAGATAAAAGGGGAAAACCTACTGCACTAGTTTTGGAGATTACAGTGTTTTGTAATCCAGATATGACTCCACCTCTACTTCCTGCCTACACTTTATCTCAAATATTTATTCGGATTGTTTGTGGAATATTCAAATAATACCTGATGCTGACACAGAGTGTTCAATGCACCTTGTGCCTCTACTCCAAAGCAGCTGCACACCACCTTGGGAATTCACTGTTGCCTTCAGCAGAAATGCTGCTAAAAGTCCTATGTAACAATGGCTAAAAATATCATCTTAGGCTGTGCTGTTTTATTAGAAGATACCAAGGAACCACATGGTACTGTAAGCTATTTACATTAAACAAAATAATCCTGCATGCACCATATGAACAAGGCACTGTAGTTGTCTGCAATTAGGAGGTAAATAACAGCTTTACCAAATAAGATTGCATCTAGAGGAAGTCATGTAGGAAGTTGTGTAGGCATGTTAAATTTGATAACATTGTAACACTGCAGGACTAGGGTTTGATCATGCTGAAAGGGATGGTGATCATATGTTCCAAAATGCTCCAACTGAAACTCTGACAGCTCCCAAGAATTTAGACTGGAGAGTTAAACATATCATTGCCTAAGAGAAGTCTGAAGGAGGACTTCATGACTTGGATCAGCAGAAACTGCAAAATAGAGAGTTATAACCAAGAGTTATGCAAGAGCAAACACATTAGCTTTAAAAATAAATAAATAATGTTTTCTTTTAGGAGGTACGGATTTTAAAAAAAATAATGAAGCAATCGCATCATATTTCATTTTTTATTTTCAGTGATATAGAGACATGGGTCACCTATGCAATTTAAATCATTTTCTATGCAAAATTCCCTGCATAACACAAAGAACTAAAAGCACTAACCCAATACTCACTCTGTACTTAGAGACTGAATCACTTTCAGTTAAAAAATGTATTCCAAAAAGATGCCTCTATTTTTAATCTACGTTTACTGTGACCCCAAATTTTGCAGGAACCATACTGTCAAAAAAGTGTCCTATAAAATCTCAAGAAAAATATTATTCTGCTCAACTTTGCTATACATGCTGAGTAGCCTATTTGTTGGGGTTGGGTTTTTTTTCAAATCTTGCATAATTCTGCTACAAATTTTATTTAGTCACAGTGCAAATAATACCACAAGGTGAATGTACAAGAAAGAAGAAAACCAACACATTACACTTCTCCCAAACTTGCCCAGCTGTAATGAAGTTTCTAGAAACTTTGCCTTCAACAAGCAGGAAAACTTTTTCTACTCCTGGAGATAGCAGCAGCAATGTCAAAAGAGTAAAAAAGTAATTTATATTCTAGAATTGTGTTTTCAAATAAACAAAAGAACAACATAAGCAAAAGTGTTATGGCCACGTCTAAGCGCCAAATGGTTTGAACAGGGCATATATCTGCAATTGTGGAGTCATTTCCTCAAAAAGACAGCACGATTTAACATGTAGCTCAGCAAATAATGAAGAAAATCAAATCTCTTAAATAGGAATTAACTTGCAATTAACTCAAGTTAGTCAAGAGCCATGGACTAATACACTGATGGAGTCAGTGTATTAGAGTGAGAGCTGAAATTGAGAAGTTCAGGAAGAGTAAGTACAGTCAGGAAGAATTTGATGAAGTTGAACATAAGGACTGAAAGCAAAGAATGAATTTAGGAGTAGGTTTGAGAAAATGACTTGACAGACTAAGGACAGAAAGCAAACAATTACTGGGAAAAGATACTTAAAATAGCCGAGAAAGTAAGAGACAGCTGGCAAAAGAAATCACTACATGTATTGAGAGTTTTGTATGAGAAAACCCAAAAGAGTATGATTGATTACGAGTGATGACAGGAAATACCTAAAAGAAGGAATTCCTGTAATCGTTAGAAGAAACTAATATTGTATTCTACCTTGAGAAACAGTCCTGAAAATCAACACTGACCTGGTTTTAAGGCAAATAACAGAATAGTTGGTTTACAAGCAATTTATTACAGAAGATCTAAAAGGTGGAATCAACATGCAGGATAATCAAGCAGGAGTATAATCGATATAACATGGGATTAAAAGGTACCAATATTATATATTGGACTAGATGACTTTGAAGGTCTATTCTACGATTCTACGAAAACACAACAGCAAATCATCAGAATCACTCAAGAGACACTGCAGTTCAAAGCTGCAAGTGAAGAAAAGATGTTGTCATTGGAATAAGAGGAACATGACACATTATCTCCTGTGAACGTGCCCTTTAGCTTCGGAAAGAATGACTAAGGGAACTAACCATTGGTGCAAGTATTAGGAAAATGTCTCCTATTTCACTAACAAAGCTCTGGAGTCCTAAGCAAGATATACTAAAATAGAAATGTAAAATATATCTAAAATACACTAGAATGACAGTGGCTACAAATTGCCAGGGAGAGGTAAAGAGCTGTAAAAACATAAAGTACAATAACAATGACAGATTTTAGTTAGTGTCCATATAGTATACTAGGGCTACATATCATGTTTGCTAGACATGCTAAACCACAAAGAACTGCTTTTCAGAGCAGTTTAAGAAAAAACTCACAAGATGAGAAGCAACTTTTGAATCAGCTCAAGAGTTAAGATTAAGTTATCCTACAAAAACTCTAGAATAGACACTACTCCATGCTCAGATACAAAAATGCTTGTATGAGGGGAAAAAAGTCAAAAAGAAAGCCAAATGAAACCCACAAGAGGTTTAACTTGAAAGGTTAGCTTGCTTAACTTGAAAAAGAAGAATGATACAAAAATGAAGAAGCTAGTTAAAAATAAATTAAAAAGAATCATCTAAAATTTTAAAATATTCCTATAAATATTTTAAAGCTTTCTTCTTATATAAACTGGCATAGCGACTCTTTAAAGGCACCACTGTAAAAGTTCAGAGTACATGTATATTACCTAGCAAAAATAATTTTAAATGGGCTTCCAGAAACAGTCAGGGTGCTCAAACAGCAGAGTAAAAGAGGCTATTAGGTATGAAAAGACATCCTTCTAAAGCAGAATGTGCATCCACCTGAGAAAAATGAAAATAACAAACTCTGATAAAATTAACATAAAACCAGAATCACAGGGGATTAAAAAAAAACAAAAAACAAAAATCAATCAAAAAAAAACACCAGAAGATTTCAAGAACTTGTTAAAGACATAGAAATTTAAAAAAAAAACCAACAGTTTTTCTAATACCCACAAGGAGCAACAGACCTGTTTGAGCCCATGGAGCTGATGGCTGTGTACAAAGAACATACAAGGAAGGCAAACTGAATGAATCATACACATCCATGTCTGCCATACAGAAGTTTAGTGCTATTTCTGGACTGCAGATATTCTTCATGCAGGGTGAGAACAAAATGCCTCCATGAACTGACCTCAAACTTTCAAAATAGAAAGCTTTTAGAATAAATTGATAAAATTAATAGAAACACATGGTATACACCCAGTGGTTCCAAGGAACTCAGATATAAAATCAGTGATTATCTAATTGTGGTTTGTAATCTACAATTTACATTAATGTTATCACCAGTAGCACAAAAGATAATAAGCACAGTACCAGGAAATCCGACTTCTAGAATGGGTATATTGTCAGAAATTATGATGAAAGACTAAAATGTTTACCTCATTGATTAAACGTCAAAGAATTCTGAAAGAGTGACCATCCTGGAGGGAAACTGTCCCTCCCAGGTCTCTCAGTAAAAGCAATGAAAACATAGTGATCCAACCAATACAGTTCAATCCTGTTCCCTCCACCCAAAATTGTGACATAGTCTTCTGCTGAAGACTGCCATGGAGTAGGAAGGTTCTCTAGTAGATTAAAAGCTGGTAAAAAAAAACAGAAAACAAAGGCTAGGAAA